GCGATTAATGTTCTAGAAATGTAAGATCTCTTGCGCGCTTGATGTAATTCAAGCTTGGTTAAAACAGCGCGACCGTTGAATTTCATGACGCGGCCGCGGCTTTAAAATTTCCTGTTTAAGAAGACCACGGTGTAAGCAATGGAAACGCGTCGCTATTGTCTTTCAGCGCAGCCATCGCCGAGGGAAAAAAAAATCGTTTCACGTCTCCGGGGATTCTTCAGGAGTTTCACGTACCCGCGAGCTTCTCGTTTCGCATTTTTCTTTTTTCTCCACGCGATCTCTGTCGACGTTTTATCATTCAAATGATCAAGTAAATGCAAGATCAATCGCAATATGAGATTTTTTAATTAAAAAATTAAAGAAAATGGCAATGTCAATTTTGTTGTATAAAGAACAAGTGGGGAACTTTACGATAATTAACCTTCCTCCAATCTTTCTGCTTGTCAAGATTTTTCAAAAAGATTCTCATCTTTTATCATCAATCAAAATGTTCTTCCCAATGTTCAATTTAAAAGGGTTTACAAAAAGGGTTTTATCAGAAATCGTCTCTTCATTCTGCCTGCTGCATAATTCTTCTGCTCTCGAGGATCTGCAAAAAAGATCTCCTCCAGATTTAAGTCTATTATAATTCGCGCAAAATTTTTTTCTCAATAATCAAAAACTCCTCAGTGCGTACACCATTCTCCATCAGCGGATTTCTATTGCTTATTCATCTTCGTTTCGCGTATAATGAGCGAATAATATTCAGCAAAATACGCGAAGAGCCGCGCTTCTGACAGGAATCAAAAGATTTTCACCGTTCGATGTTCAGCGGCGATAGAGATGGCGCGGGAATTATGAGCGCGCTGTAATGAGAACCGACGACGAGAGCCTGTATTTATCACGAAGAGTAAAACTGACAGCAGTCCATTTCCTGTTCGTCCTGCCTGTCTGGCTGAACATATCTCCTGACGAAACAACGTGGACGCCGTTTGTTTGGGAAACAATGGACCGAAACAATACCCAATCCCTCCTCGGTGCGCGGACATGGATACAGACCACCATTCTGCTTTCCACGCCCCGTTACACTCTTCTCTCTTTCTATCGACGAAAGAATCTCACCAGCGACCAGCGAAGACTTCGCCGATTTTACGCGAATGGACAGAGCAAAGATTTTCCCTCCCGTCTCGCTTCGTCACTCGTATTTAACGGTTGTCTTTCGTTTTCCGGCTTTATTCCGACACCTGAAACGCTTTTGCAAAAAGCCACCCTCCGATTCCTCCGCGTCGCGATGAAAAAGGTTTTTCGTCGGAACGTCAGCGACTCGAGAATACCAAGCCAAGGGAGATAATGAAAAACGTCTGTTCTCGAATCTAACCTTTCTTTTTTTCCTTTTTTTTCTTCCAGAGAAATTGCTTACCAGTATATCTCGTCTTTGCGAATGAAAAATGTGTAACGAGGAAAATATACTCTGTATTCGCAACGTGGTACTGTACGTATGGAATCGTTTCGGACGAAACGGAGAATCAGGTTGACAGAGAGGATGCTTTTTGATTAAAAGACGAACACATTCCAATTTACTTTTTCGAACGGAAGATTGAATGTATTGGATTTAAAAGTCTAAAGTGATCAGCAATCTGTTTTTCACCTGTGTTATACATTTTAAAAAATTTAATGAAGAAAGAGGATGAGGAATAAGGTGGAAGAAAAAATGTAAATAATAAACAATTACTTACAAGACATTTTTAAAAGATATTGTAACTAACAGTAATAATCAGCATTGGAATTTAAGCGTGAAGATAAAACTAACATTAAAATGTTATCGACGCTGCAAGTATAATGAAAATCATTCGACAGCAAATACTCGAAATTGTTGTTAAAAATAAACTCGATGTATCTGTTAAAAAAAAAATCGTCGTAGCGAGAAAGTTCGAAACGTGAAATTTTAATTCCGCGAAACACATCGAAATTAACCGAAGTTAAAAATTGAATAAAAAAAAAAGAACAAAGAACAGAAACTTCCCATCTCTGGATACCAATAAAATTTCAAAAACGCAAGGATAACTATATCTATCAATCACGAAGATCCGTCGAATATGAGGAACGCTCCCTTACTAATTACTAATTGTTCCTGGTGCGATTGTTCGTACGATTGTGGCACGAAGTTTAATTGAAATACCTACGATCGTAGATTCTCATTAACGATTTCACGGGGATTCCTGGTGGATTCCTCGCAAGACGTTCGCCGCGCGAAACCGAACGTGCACTTGACAGAAATTAGTAATCCTTAATGGATGATGCGACGCAAGCCTGGTACTATTCATCCCCCTTAGCCAGCTATAGGCGTTGTCTGCTGCTCTTAGACTTAACAACGGCGGATATTCAATTAATTTCAGAAGACAATAGTAACGCGCCTCTCGCTCCGACGATTCTACGTACATATCTACGACCATCTTCCACACGTTCGATTATTGCTGGGAACCAAACAGATGTGTAATATTCCGAGATTCGGTTCAACATTAGAACCACCAAATCCGTCGCGGCGTTGCTAAGTTACCACTGCATGTATATCCGCTACATTCGCTTGTCATCGTTCGCTTCTATTTGTTTCGTTCTGTAAAACGTAAAAACAACAAGGTTACTTTCAGATGTCAATTATGTTAGATATGTCGGAAATCAGAATATATATTCAGAAGAAATGTTAATTTGATGAAGATAATTGTTAAAAATTTCAAAACGAAAGATTTTGGATTCTAGAAATATATGATTTCAATATCACGTATATACCGAAGTTTCTTCATAAACGTGCTCTGAATTTGAGCTCCGCAAAATATTTAAATCACAATACAACTCTCACTATCTACTTCTTTCTAACACTTCTCCAGCGATCGTCCTCGAAAACCAGCGACATGACAACGACCACGGGTGATCCATCGACTCTGAAGAGTCCAGCCTCGCTCTCCGGCGGCGATCTGGTCTCTCGCCTTTTAGCAGCGACTCCTCCGTACTTGTACAACGTGCCCTTAACGCCGCACAGCTTCTTCTTCAGCGAGATGTTGCGTTCGTTCGTGCAAGCAAAAACGGAAGTATCGTCGGCGAGTAACACGACGAGCGCGCCCCGACGTCGCAAAAGATCCTGGCGAGATGCTCGCGATCGTCCGTTGGAATTGACCACGAAAGAACGGCAACATCATCATCACCATCATCACCACTCGCAGCAGCAACAACAGCAACAGCCACCGGACAAATATTTCCACGCTCAACAGCAGCCGCAGCAAGCGGAGACGCGGCTGGAGAACGGTGGCAAACAGAGCGACGGCTACGATCCTGCGAATAAAGTGGGCAACTTCGAGCAGAAACCAAGCTTCGCCGCGGACATTCTGAAACCGGTGGATGAAAATAAATCAGAGTTCAGTAAACAGAGTAAGAGCTTCTTCGATCACGAGCGGCCACGTCATTTCGAGCAGGCCCAGCCACCGGAGAACATATTCTCCAGCGAATTGCAGAAGGTCAAGCCGGAGGAGTCTCACTCCAGCGACCGTAAGAATTGCAATTACAACGACAGAAGCCCGTACGACGATCGCACGAAGAGCGCGATTGGAAATCAAGAGCTACCGCCGCTGTTGCCCGATCAGAAGAAGCTCGATTTCTCCAGGAATTTTCTACCCAGCCTTCCAGGCAGGGGCTGCGACATGCTTCCGGGTGTGAAAGGATTCGGTCTGCCCGGAAACGTCACCAACCCGGAGTTCCTTCCTAGCCCGCTTTGGTACCCGCCTTATCCAATGCCTCAGTCCTATCCCGGCATCGATCCTCTGCACTTCTTCATCGATCTTCGCGTTTCCGGCCACATTTGGGATCGCAAGTTGAGCGAGAGACAGCTACCATTCAAAGGCAAGCACTGCTCCGCTTTCAGTGTGCCGCAGTCGAAGGAATACAACAGCAATCGACCGTTGAATCTGACGAGAGACGAGGCATGCACGTCCAGGAGCAGCGAGGAGAATCTACGTGGCACTAATTATATTCTGAGACACTTGACCAGGACGTACAGGGACATCAGCCAAGCACGAAAAGCAACCAGGAGCGAAACATCCACTTCCGGCGAGAGCGAGGACAGTTCGAAGGACGTTGATAACAGTGGGTGTTGATTTTTATAATTGATTGTTGCACGATCCGTGTTTTACACGACTACTTTCCGTCATAATGATGTAATTGAAATAATCTGTGTTCTAGTACGGTGTTACGATAGTGTGTAGCCTGACCAAGAATCCTTTAGAAGGATATCGTTTTTGAACGCAAATTAAAATTGAAATTACGATTTTTTTCAAGAAAGAACTATTTCGCAGTATATAACGTCAAAAGATCAGCTTGATAATTCTACATAAAGCAAAGAAATGTTTTTTCTGTCAAAAATTGTAATGAAAAATGTTCGTACTTCACGTTGATTCTTCATATAGACGTACCTTTAATTAATCAAACATTTTGTATGTTACAAAACGCAGACGAAAGATCTCCAAAATCGGAAGACATCTCGGTTGCGTCGACGAGCCCGGAAGAAGAGAGGAAGGATCTTCGGGCGTTGATAGGGTTGGAACTGGTGGTGGATTATGTGAAAGAGCCGAAGGCAGATGCCTCGACCGAGCAGACTTCGCAAGTAACCGAATAACTCCTGAAAATCGAACGATTTTCTTTCGTTCTTGCCTGTATAAATAGATGTAGCTCCGACACTTACAATCTCGGCTGGTTTTCACTCCACTACGTTGTTCATGTAGAATCTTACAATACAAAAGTTTTACTTCGTTGTGGAACGATCACATTTAAAAGGTTGTTAACAAGTAATCCCACTATATTTAATAATATTTCTTACATCAAGAAAGAAATGTTTTCGGTTAAATTCTACTTGAAGTGAATATTACTTTCAAATCCAACATTTTTTAGAGACTTCCTTCTAGAAATCTTTTTAATTAAGATATAAATTATTTGGTTGGTAATATGTTAATATTCCTTTCGTGTCACGATGTCAAGGAATGATAGCAGCGAAAAAATGGAACATCTTGCTATGTTTCTCAGATATTCTTGCCACTGAGTTGTTCGATCTTTTGCCCCCTTATTTTTGTTCGATGTGAATATTTAGAGACTTTGCACATTTAGAGACGATACATTTGAAAAATTAGCAGCCTCGAACTTTCATCGGTGCTATCTATTGCGTAAATGATAAATATGAATGTGCTGCTCTAATCTGACAAAACGAGGCAATATGCATACTCTGTTGATTGATTCATGCTTTATACGCAATCAAACGGCATGAAACTTACGACATTTTTTAATATCACAGTTTAATCACAACACACTCTCCAGACACACTGAGTTTTTCATTCAGCAGTCTATATCACTGTGTCTGTCGTTCTTTCGAGACTCTTCCTATCTTACACTCGAGACTCGACTCGAAAAGAGTCATTTTCTGGCGTGGAGATAGAGGATCTTAGAGATCCCTCGTGGGCCGGAAACGCTCCGCTCCGAATTCAACTGTATGTGATATGCGGTGTACATATTATAGTAGCGTTCTATTGTATCTATATGTATTAATAGAAATCGATCTGTATATTGAACGTAATAAAAGTAATGCGATTCAATCACGTGAAACAAATTCGTATTGTTTTATTAACTATGGTAGACCATCTCATCCTGCTGGATCATACTTTAATATTAATTCTTATTCTATGACAGATAAAAAAAAGTTTCAATCAAACATTATAAGTTAAATTTGTAAAACAAATAAACCGATCTTTTGTTTCGCTTGTTAATTTTACAACTACAGTTAAAAATTGTTGAAAAAAACAAATTGCTAAATTATGAAAAAGACAAGACCTATGAGGACAAAAGAAAAGGATCAATAAAAGCGACGGAAATGTATCTCTACTCCAGATCCACGGCACGAACTTACGATCGTAAGTTACCATCCAGCGCCACGGACATAAAGATACATTTTCACGAGTGCCATATACGAAGGGTCTGAATGCTCGTCGCGCTCGAGGTCGATCTTTTAGAGTAAAACAGAAGAAGGAAGGGTGATGCAGTCTGCGGCGCATGCAGCTTTTTCACCTTTCTGAATGCGATCCGGCACTCGTTATAATCGAGAGTACCCTCGAAGAAACGCACATAGAAGAGGAACGTCATATTCAGCCGGATATGGTCACACATCCTCTCCTTCCACCCATCGGTCTCTCCACATTATTTGACTAATAAACTTCTATCTAAAGTTCTCTCCTTCGTCGATCGAGATACAGTTTCCCCGTTTCGTCCCTCTGTCTATCGTTGTCGATACGAACTCTCTTTGACGCGGCCGTTGATAGAGCACAATTAGGGGAACCGAGTCCCCGATATGTACGCGCAGAATGACAAGAGATACGTGGCTTTTAGGGACGAGGGCAAATCTGACGAGAGATATCGATCTGCGGACTCATTTGCAAAGGCTGAATGGAAAAGTTCGCCGGCGTGTTTGCGGCCGATTAGATAGATGAAGATACGTATCCAATGTGGATTCGCAAAGAGCGATTCGGTCGAGAAATTTTTTTCTGCCGTGACATTCTTCAGTGGTTGATCGTTCCTTCCTTTTGTCGTGTGTTTCATTTATTTCAACTTGCGTTTGATGAAAATTCTACAGAGATCTAGTAGGTATTTCTAGGAGATTGGATAATTTCTAACTTTTTGAAATTTGAAGAACCTCGGAAATATTATTACATTAATTCTTTTACTAATAACTTTTATAATAACTCAAACTCTACATTGAACATCGTAAAAATATAAAATATTTACCCTGTTAAAGTTATCAGATAAAGATATAGAGCCGATTTTTTCCTCCGATTGTCGGTGAAAAATTAATAAACTGTCTTTCTATCACGCTATACGTATTTACTTGCATTCGTGTTCTTGATAAATTCCTTAAACAGAATCGTGATTAGCGATAACGCGAAGCTCCAAGATCACTTCACCTTTGTTGTTCTTATCGATTTTCACCATTCTGCGGTTCAACTCCGGGACCATGATGACATCATCCGATCCGACTCTCTTAACAGGTGCTTCGACTAATTTGTAACGTGTGATCGGTAGCTCCTCTTTGTTCACTTCGATGAACGGCTTTTCCGGCGCGGCAAGCGTGTACACCTAATTCGAACATTAATGCGACATTTATGGTATTACTGGTGGAACTACCACGCGCATTGATGTTTGTTCATGGAAAATTTTCCGCTTAATAGGATTAACTGATACGAGGCTTTAATTTGCAATTGTTATCGATGACCAATTTATTAATTACAAAAATCATTCTTTTTTTCTTTTCGAGAGAATTAGATTGAACAGTATTATCAATTTTTCAATTTCATCATTCTAATTGCATTCGTTCCTTTGCATTCGATCATTTTATTCCACGATTTCATTAATCATTTTAAAAAGCATCGAAAAATGTGAAACATACATTTTTAATATGAATATGCATTTCGGGATTTTTCACGTGATTTGATGCGAAAGACAATCACGTAATTTGTGTAATAATCGATATCCCCTTTATTTTTAACAATAGGAGAAAGATGATTGACAAAAATTTGCCAATTCATGTTTTGCCGTGAGATTAATTTTCCACGCGAGTCACGAATAATAAAAATGACATAGCAGAAACAACACATTTTAACAAAGAAACGAATAATGAAAAGATGAAGTCTCGCTCATTGTCATAATTCCAACCAATAAAGTCTACAGATAAAGTCCTATTGAATCGATTTACCTTTTTAACAGGGCGTATCATATTATCAAGCTCATTCGAGTCGCCTGCGGAGAAACTCAGATCCAAATCCCGCGAAGATTGCTCATTCGGAACAGGGTAAGTTAAGTCATTCGCGTATCGATTCTCGTCCACAGTCGGCAAATAATAAACTCGTCCATTAACAACGACCACAAAGACCGTTAGGATAGTCAGAAGAAGACTGTTCTCCATCGTTTAACGTACTCGGAGGGAACTACAATTTAAAAGACCGTGTTCTCGATGTAGCTCGATTGAAAGCGACAAAAATAATAAAACAGAGCTTTCCTCGTGACAGCTGGTAGATCCATTAATCCATCGTAAGGCGATTACAGACCATTCTTCGGAATGATTAATTAAGAGTACAACCTGCCAACGAACGAAGAAACGAATAATAATTTCCCATTGGTTTAACTGTAAATGGATGGTTGTTTCATGTAGTCAGAAAAGCGAGGATATTCTTTTTTTTTTTTTTTTTTTTT